GAGTTATTTAAATGGAGATAAGTAATTTGCTGTGGGTCTAAATCAGGTCGAGAGAAAGAGAGAGGGTCAAACAGGAGAATCAGTGTGTGTGTGTGTGTGTGTGTGTGTGTGATGTGTGTGGTGTGGTGTTGTGTGTGTGTGTGATGTATTACATCTGGATACAGGGTTCATGCGCCACATGAAGAGGAAACAGGTGGTTCTCTCTCAACAGATGTGTATTAGTCCCAATATCTTGGTCTGATGGATTGACAATTTTGATTTAAGATAACGTGGTTGATCTTAAGTAGGATTTAAGCTTCTTTCGTGGGTGTAACAGTTCTCTTATACCAGGGGTCTGCAACCTTTTTGACCAAAAGAGCCATTTTGCTCCTTTTTCCAAAACATTTTTTTTGTCTGGAGCCGCAAAACATATTTCATAGCTTGATACGTGCAATAACAGTGGTGTTATGTGTGATGACAACAAAAACTACAGGTTTTAGCATGTTATTCGGGCTATTTATTACATTATATAAACTGTTAACCTCTAATAAGAAAAAGAACCTCCTATAAGGAGAATTAAAAATAATACACAGGCCTACTTTAAAATAAATTAAACACAGCACTTGGGGAGTCCTCTGCACATTAAGGAAAAAACATATTATTAAAATGGGCCACTTTGAAATAAATAAAACTATAGCTGCACCATAAACATAGTTTTAAAGGTAGGGTAGGTAAGAATGGAGAAACAGCTCGAGTGGCTAGAATTTGAAATAACACAACCGGGAAAAAAAATATGCCTCTTCCTTCAGACTTCCTCACAGCAGCCCCTCCTCCAACACACACGAACGCCACATGACCAATGAGGGCACGAGATAAATGTGGTGCACAGATGGAAGGCTAGACAGGCTGACAGGCAGGTAGGCCCATCCAGTTATTTTGTAGCCGGCTGGCTCAGAATGAGTTGTCGTGCTTTTTACAGCGCTACGGCTTTCCAGAGATTAATTTTGTATGTATTTTTGTTCAAAGCATTTAATATATTCATTGCATGGGATGTTAAGAGCATTCATGGCGGAATATAACAAAAAGTGTTTTCTGAAGATGAATTAATCACCCCATTGAATTATGACTCGGAAAAGGATCGTCAGCTGGTCTTCCTCTCCGTGTTGTTCCCGTTTTTTTCTCGATCGTAAAGCTGCAGTACAGCACCTTTGACAACTTCTCTCTACATATCAAACATACCGGTAAAACCAGCATCGTTTGCTGTGAAAGATATAACTCTGTCCACACAGAATTAAATCCTGTGTTCCTCCTTGTACTTTTCTTTGATTTTATCCATGTTCGCATCACTCGACGGGGGTCAGATTATTCACCCGCAGGAAAAGGCGATCGCGCGGGGACCGAGCAGGATGTGACGCATATTTTAGTTGACCTAATTAAAACCGTTTTGTTTTTTATTTATGTGTCACAGTATCACTCAAAATAACAACGAACGAAACATTTTCAACCATGCAACAAAATATAAATAGTCCTACAATTTTTTTATTTATTTCCTTCTTATTTTTGTCTAAACTCTAGACCACTCCAGAAAAACGCGATTCTGCGATCGCAGGAATTTACCGCATAATCAGCAAAATGGCGCAGAAGATTTCTAAAAGGCCGCATATTTATCAAAAGGCCGCATAATCCCGCATTTTTCCACACAAAATTGAGAAGAAAAAAAAGTTAACTCGTCTTGACGTGACGTCATCAGCTCGCGATCAAGAATGCTAACACAACACTGGTATAGAGTGAACGTGTGAGCTCACACGATAGAGAAAACACCAAGATGAAAATATTAATCCATCTCATTTACCGACGACATTTTCCACTAAAGACCGGGCAAAAAGAAGTGGGGAACTATTCTGCACCCAGGTGCAACTGTGTGTTGGAGCATAAGAGAAAATCGACGGTGACGACCCACTTTGATTAATTCAAACATTCCGAAAATGGCTTCTGACTGCTGCGGACAAGAAAGCAAACAACCTCGACGTTCACGAGGCATCAACCTCCCAACCTTTCGAGGGCTACAAGAAACGAGCAGTGAGTTCGTCCGATGGAAGCTGCAGATAACGAACGGTAAATGAAAAGCAAATACGAGAAGTGTGTGTGTGGTGGGTGGTGCGTGCGGACTAAATACCCTAATTGCTTTACATAAATAAACATTGAATGTGTTGATAATTCCAATAGTAAAGGGGGTTTAACGTTAGTGGCAGGTTGAGTGGAGAAGGACTAAATAAGGACAGCCCAATATTTTAAAAAAAAAAAAAAAAAATTGATATTTTTTCTCGCATATTACGCAAACTTTCTGCATATTTCGCAACCTTCCGCATATTTCGCAACTTCCCGCGTTTCACCGCATAAAATACATAAACCCTGCATGTTTAATCGCATAATACAAGGATTTTAGCCCGCATAATCAAGGAATTTAGCCCGCATAATCAAGG